CCTCCTGCTCCTCCTCCTCCTCTCCTCCTCCTCCTCCTCCTCCTCCTCCACTTTGAGATGAAATGACTCCTGGGCCTTCACCCACTTGACTCTGACCTCCAAGGCTAGTCACATCCCCTGTGCTTCCCTCCACCTTCTCTTTCTCTGCATGAGGCTGCTGGGGCTGAGGCTGGGGCTTGCTGTCTAAAGGTGCTTTGGGCCATGATGCATCTCCCATCGTGATCTCGGACTCCATAGCGGCCTTGGAGAAGGCTTCAGGTAAGGTTTGGAGCTCAGGAGAGGAGCTGGACTTGTTGAGTCCATGACCCTGGGACTGAGGGTGGGCTTGGAAGGGAAGCTCGGGACCCTGGCTGCCTGGGGTGGAGGGTCCAGCAGTGGGCTGATCGATGGGAATCGCTCCTTCGCTCACTTCCTCCAGTGTCGACTTCTCATCGTCTTGACTGGAAGTGGAGGAGGACTGGGGAAATGTATTTTAAAAAAGGATGATAGATTTAAAATAAAGATACTGTTTTCTGTTTATGCATTTTTAGCAGAATACTTTATGGCTAAACATGGAAAACATCAGAACAGTTCTATAAGTGCAGAACAAACAGGAGCAGTGTGAGACAACAGGCTGCCAGGGAACAAATCTCATTATACATATTAACTGCTTTCATGGAGTGGAGGTGAATCTCTAACAGCTGAGAATCAAACAACAGGTGGCTGACATGCTGTGGTAAACACAAATCTTATTTTTCACAACTTGTAAGTGTTGGCAGAGAAACACTTAAAAAAACTGAAAGCTGAAAGCCGTGTGACTTTATATCTCTTGATGTTTATTTTTAACATGCTGCAGCACAGATGTTATTTTACAGAGGTGTGCTGATTGAGCAGCTGGTGACCGGAATCAACCGATTTTCAATTAGTTCGGCTGTGATTGATGACCAGCCGGTGGACTTGAGGCGCCCATCTGCGGGCTCGACTGAAACATTCAGAACCAGCACACGACTCGTTCATATGAGACAGCTGTCACTCTGTGTGTCACTGCGAACAAGGACTCCTGACTCTCTCTCTCTCGCCCTTATTATGAACATAAAATTGAATTTCCATTTAAGAATAGTGACAAATAGTTTTGTTTTGAGCTGCCAATTAAAATTCTCTAAAGAAAGAATCAGCAGATCAGACCTTAAAGTGTTACAAATCAGATCGTGCATTTTTGTTGAAGATTACAGTCAGCATTCGATTGCATAGCCACCTACCCTGCTGAGCGATCCAGGTGGCGGGATCTTTGTGAACTTGTCTGCAGACATGAAGATCGGATCAGACGTCATTGGTTCAAACTCTTCGCTCTCTAGCCAATCAGATGGGGTAGGTGCTGTGGTGACGCCTGAGCCCTCCTCCAGCACCACAACAGAGTCTACAGCAGGACACAGCAGCAAACACATGGGTTACAGGTGGACACACCCAAACTGTTGTAACTTCACACACACACACACACACACACACACACACACACACACACACACACACACACACACACACACACACACACACACACACACACACACACACACACCACACACACACACACACACACACACACACACACACACACACACACACACACACACACACACACACAGTTAGTATTCACAGGTGTAAGACTCCCAAACAAAGCTGTCAGTATTTATTTTGACATCAACACCTCGCACACTTTCTCTCCAACAGGACTAGGTCATTATGGTAAGATGAAACAGAATCAGATGTTTGTGTATCAATTAAGTAACTCAGGGGCAGCCAGGCAAACACACACCTATGCACATGAACAGACAACAACATCAAGACCTTCATTAAATCCAACCAACAAACACTGAGATCAAAGACGAAGGCGGATCAATGCAGCCAGCATCTATCCATTGCTGCTTCATCTACTTTTGATTTTTTGATTTTTCCATCCAGGCGCATGCATCTGCTTGATTGGTTATCTTGGCCCAAACACACAACAGCAGCCCAGACCAGGCCCCTCCAGTCCTGGATCGCCCCAATATCACGCCCCTGAAAACAGCAGCTTGAAAGTTTCTTCATCGCCCTACTAGGTCTCCAGTAAGGCAAGGAAGAGAATTAGTTGGATGAGGTCTGGGCTTTCCTGTTGACAACATCAGGAGGTCAATGTTAAAAGGTCAACCTGGGAGTATATTTCTGCGAGTTAGAGAAGATGATTAGGAGGGAAGAACAAATCACTGGGATGACATAAAACAAATCATGATCCATCTTTAGGTGCCATTGGACTGATTGATCCAAGTGCAGGCACCCCTTCACCATCACTGGCAGAGGACCCTCCCTCTCTCTCTCCCTCCCTCCCTCTCTCCCTCCCTCCCTCTCGTTGTTAATAGAGGACTGAGGGGTAAAACAGAAATTCTGAATTCCTTCACTTGCACAATATTTAAATATAAAACAGCAGGTCTGCAGCACCACTGAGTTAGCCCTGTGAAGAAAATGGATATAACAAGCTTATTTATCATTCAAGTTATACCATGGTCTAGGTGAATACTCGATTCTGATTGGCTGAAGGATGTCATGCGGTTGTCCATTAACTTTTGAGCGTTGTTCATTAATTCCTAAAAGTTATTTTGGCCTTCAGTGATTATGCCCAATAAATAAAATATGGACTCAATGGAGGCTTTATTGATTATCTACCACTGATTTAACTTTAGTTCAGCAGATGTGTGGCCTGCCATGTACCAATGTATTGTGCAAGTAAGAAGAAATACACTACACCAGGAGTTTTTTGGGAGGTGGGGTGGGGGGGGGCACACGTGTTGGATGGTACCTGCCCAGGAAATGCTCCTGTGCAGCCTGCCAGGGGCCGGAGGGCCCGGGGGGGCAGAGCCCAAACCCAGGGACCAGAGAGAGTCACCGACTGCAGGCAGGACGCCAGAAGACAGGTCGGTGGCACATGAGGCCACATAACACATCACGGACCAATCACAAACCATCATGGGGGGTAAAGAAGAAAAACAAGTGAACAAGAAAAAAAATGAACAGAAAGCAAATGGAAAGAAAAAAACGATGAACAAAGAGAGGAAAAAAGATGATGTGAAGAGGTGAAGAAGCTAAATAACGAATAAAATAAGATAAACAGGAAGAAGTTGAGCCCCAGAGGAAGGAAGAATGAAAGAATGGCGTCGCTGAAAAAGAGGCTTTCGCTCACAAACAGAAAAATAAAACTGCGTGTCAAATCAGTAAACTTTGACAATCACTGACCTGAGCAAATCTATGAAGGCCTATTGATCACCTTCAGGTTCAAACAGAATATTTAAAGGCATTTCGGCTCTCTGCTCAGCCCTTTAAAAAGACCCAAAGACAAGCAGCCAGGCGGACAGAAGAGAAGTATTCATGTGTGACTGAGTTACACTTTAAACATTTTCTTAGTCTTAGACAATAAAAATAACAGAATAAAAGTTTAATGCACTTTTTGATAGACAGTAACTCACCAGTATTTGAGCGCTGGATCAGGTGTGCCTTCCCTCCGACGTTGCTGTGTGTTTGGGTCAGGGGTTCAGAAACAGTGGCTGGTGCAGGAGCAGCGGTGCTGGCGGGTGCGCTGGCTGTCTGGATTGGAGGATCCTTCACACCCTCCATGGCCATGAGGACACTGGAGAGCTCCTGCAGCGGCATGTTGCCCAGCTCAGAGGAGAAGGGACTAGGTGGGTTCTCCAGACACATCAGCCAGCTAGTGTTACCTGTGATGACCGACAGAGAGACAAACGTGTTAGCTCACTAGTATACTGCGGGAAAAAACAACACGAGGGATTTCTGGATTCTGATTACATTAACCCTTTAACTACATATAAAGTTGGATAAAAAAGTATTTAGTATACTAGCTTACCCGCAATAAATTGATGATACACACCAGCTACTGACATCAGGTGTGTGCCATATTATTTGTCGGTCAGATGATGTTTGTCAGGCGGGTCGATATCGGCAGATACCAATGTTTAAACAATAACAGATCACATCCCCTGATCACTGAACTGGCTGCTGAAGCAGGTTTTTTCCCACAATAAAAGTTTTACAGTGTTTTTGTAATGTGTGCAGGGTAAGAGAGCCACTTGTTTTTCATCAGAAAACACTCCTCAAACATGTACAGGGCAAAATCGGCAGTGATAAGACACACTGTTTTGTAGTGCTTGTCAAGTTCGACACAAAATAAAAGTTCCTCAGAGGAGCTTTGAAGAAAACAGATATGGTCCTGTGTTGTTACTCATGAACCTAATAACATTCACAAAGCTAAACCTTTATAAACAATGAAACCAAAAAACACTTGAGTGAGTTTCTTTTCCTTCAATTGTTGTTGTGTTGTTGTTGTTGTTACTAAGTGCAGTTTACATACCAGATGGTCTCCGAATGAAGATCTCTGCCCAGCCCTGTGTGAGCATGGGGACAAACTCGGCCAGACTTGGGTTGTCCTTGAGAGGCTGAGGAGCAGACGGGGTGGCAGAGGCGGAGGAGGGAGGACCAAGACTGTCCAGGTTGGAACTTGAGGGGGGGGAGAGGGGAGCAGCTAGTTCCCCCTCAGAGGGGGACACCAGAGGACTCAGGCTCTGAGTAGGACCGGCACGTAGAGCGTGGCCACCTGGAACAAACACAGAAAGAATGTGTTGTTATGACTTTGCAGCCTACGCTATGTGACAGCTTATTTTTTTTATCAGAGATGTCGTCCAAAATAAAGAGTATTCTGAGGCTGAGTGTTTGTTACCTGACATGGAGCGGACTCGTATGCGTGTGGCTCTGTTGTGCTGCTGGCTTGACTGAGACTCCAGTTTGGCTGGAGCCTCTTTGGTAATCCGGGTGTGCAGTGATGGATCAGACCTGCAGAAGCATAGAAGGGATATGGTTATATATATGATATATGGTTATAAAGGAGCTGCAAAAAATTAAATAAGACTTTACAGCCATGTTACAATCAGACTCAGAATCAGAGTCAAGTTTATTGCCAAGTATGTTTACACATACAAGGAATTAAGCTAGTTAACAGCAGTACTCCTGCCAGGGGACTTTGGTCAAATAAAATAAGCAGTAAAAAAACTAACATATAAAGCAATTTAATACTCAGGATGTTGATATGAGTGATGGAAAAAGTGTGCAGGAAGGCGCAGAAAGGGGTTAGGGTAAATGTCTATCTTATGATATAGAATTAAATACAGTGGCAATTAATGAATACAATTAATGACTACAGGCCTGATGAGGGTCTGTGTCAGTCGGGGCGTGGGGGGGGGGACCTGGAGCATCGTTAATGAGGCTGGCAGCAGAGGGTTAGACACTGTTCTAATGCCAGGTGGTTATTAGTGAGGTTGTATTTGAACCTGGTGATTCTTTCAGCTAAATTATTAAAGCAGCATGCCTACGTGCACAACTACAATAACAACATGTTGACGATTAGCAGGCTTAATGATCACTGGGTTAACATCATAACTAGCACTGACTCTCATACAGGCTAACATGTAAAGAATATCATAAATTGATGCAGCTTTGGTTGTAAACTAAAAGCTTAACTGTTCACGTGATGATGACTGTAGCATTTTTACATCATTAAATCTATAAATAAATGAATTTGTTGAGTGGTGGACCAATCAACGGAGACGAACCTCGCATGTGGCAAAAACTAGAAGGATTGTTTTGTCATTTATTGTGTGTGTGTGTGTGAGCCTGCATCACCTTGTCATTTCCCCTCCGCCTCCCAGCCGTTCGGCCATGTCCAGGCCCAGCAGCGCTTGGGTTCTGGCTCCACCGCTGGTTGTTATTGTCACCAGCTTGTTACCAACCAGCCAAGTCATACTGCGACCCCCTGCCAAAAGGAACTCTGCGATCGGAGACCTAATAGAAACAAATTCAATCATGACTCTCAATTCATTTCACATCACCGATGTCAAGTGCCAACTCCCCCACAAACAAAGACTGAAAACAAGTGATTGCCGACCTCTTGGGCAGAGCGGAGAAGTTGGAGAAGACGTATCGAGCCATCATGTCCAGACAGGTCTCCGTGAGCTCGAGGTGGACCGTCTTTAACCCCTCGTCTGCCTGAGTCACCGCGTTTTCATCAGCAGAGCCCAGGCTGCAGGTGGTGGTTGAGGTGTGCATCCTGCAGGAGGACACAGGGACGAGGATAAACAACGGAGAGATCGAACAGAGCAGGAAGAGAGGCTCCAGATATATCTTAACATTTGATCAGTGCACACAAAGACATGCAAGCTCTGGGATGCATGCAAAGAGAAATGCTTGTTTAAAAAAATTACACAAACACAGCGATGTCCATCATGTTTCTGTCTATTTTTCATGCACTGCAAGCATTTATAGATACACACAGGCATGCATGTGTGAGTGTGCGTGTGTGTGTGTGCATGTATAAGCAAATGCACAAACAGATAATAGATGTTCTCTGAAGCACATAAACACAGACACACTCACACGCTGGGACGTGGTATAGTTTGTCTCATCAGCTGTGACACCACATTGCTTATTTCCCTTAAAGATAATCAGCTCTGTGTAGAGGGCAGAGGGGATCTATTGCGTAAAATGTTTTGGTATATAAAGTCAATCAAAGGACTGCAGAGAAAACAGCGGGTAGAAGCCTTGTTTGAGTAAACGTGGTTCACTGAGTTTATCTCTGAGCTGCAGCCAAATCTCATTATTAGTATTCACCGCTGAGTGAGGAGCCGCTTTTTGTATCCAACAACAACCATCAGTGTCTGCTCTACAAGCAAATGAGATTAAAAGCCCTCTTGTTAAAAAGAAAACATCAGTCTCATCCAGTGCTGTGAAGATGTAGGTTTTGAATTCAGTCAAAATTAATCAAATGCTGGCTAGCTGCTGAGACACTCAAATTTGCGACTCAGAACATCAGTCCAACTGTGATGTCTGTTCAGCACAGAGGGGAGTCAACAAGGCAGACACGCTGTGTTCAAGACTCATCCTGAGAAAAACATTAGCAACCAAAAAGCTTAAATAAAGGAACACAAATCGAAACTAATGAGGCAGAAAAAAGAAAGAGCAATGAAAAAATGCTCTCGCTGGATCAATCGTTCTCTTCTATGAAAAAAACAACATTTCTAAGTGAAGAGGGAGGCGTTTCAGACATCAAGTAGTTTAAGATGTAACCTTAATAACGCCAGTTGCATCTTCAATATAACATACTTCACATGAGTCCTGTTAGGATATGTTTACAAATGGTTGTTTGAATGTTGTTCAATTTGAAATCTATTGATATAGTCAGGAAGAGGATTCATTTAAGAGTTATGCAGATTGATAAATTCTGTCAGAAAGAATCAGAAGAAATCCAACTCAGACCAAGTCCCAGCGTTCACATGCACCAAAGTACTTACCATTCTTTTATAGAACATGACCTCCGAACAACATGACCATGAAACACTCTGAAGCACAGTGTACTCTATTCTTTGAGTCAAACTGCTTTGTGTTCAGATTGATTTCTTTCAACTGAATGACACATTTCAAAATAATGCTGCCTATCTTGAGAATGTATTTTCTATCAGTCGTTTCTGTAAAATCACATATGGTTACAGTTTTTTATTTCAAATGACGGTGCTTAAAAGTATTTAAAAATCTAAATATCTAGTCATGCTGATCGAAGTCAAACAAATACTTTTTACTTAAATACTTTAAATTCAGTGTTTGTGAACGTCTAAGTTCTGGGCTTTACTGCCATCTGTCGGGCAGGGGGCGATGATACATGCATCACGGTGGCACAGCTGCCACATACAACTGCAATGTTAGATCTCACATTTGTCATTCACTTGAGCAGGTCAGCCAAGCAGAGATAAGCAAAGACGTGTGAAGAGGGTAGGTCAAGTGTTTGTGTGTTCGTGTGTGTGAGGATACAAATCGTGTGAGTGTGCGATCAAACATTTAAAAGTTCACACAGCCCAGCTAGTCCTAAAAATCCCACACTAGGAGATTGCCATGGTCATACTGCAGCATCACAGTGTGTGTTTGTGAATGGAGCAAAACATATTTAGAGCAAGCAGCCTGAGCAGTTGTGTTGCTGTTGTCCCTGTCACTGGGCGAGGACGCAGACGTGCCCTCCCCTCAGGAAGGGAGGCAGAGTTGTACGTTGTGATTGTTGCCAATCAGGATTAGATCCCATTACTTTAAAGACTCATGCTTAGCACCCGTCCCTCCTGCCATTCATTTGTTGTTAGGCAAATTCAAAACCAGTCAGCGATACGCCCAGCAAAAACAAACCCCAACCAAAGACAAAATTAAATTAAATAAAAGAAGAACAACAAACTCAGTGTTAGAACAAAACAAACAGAAACTAATCAAACATGTTTTCAGATGTCTTCTGAAATCATTTCATGCATAGGCAAACATTTAAAAAAAAAACTGAAACAGCACACGTATGATTGCAGCCCAAAACAAACCAAAAAGGGGGCAACACACAAACCTTCTTCCAGCATGCACCACCCGCTCCAGGTTTCCAAATTAAAACACCCAACGCCCACCAAACGGACCCGCATGACAATGACCCTAACCCCATTAACCATCCCATGGAGGAAGCAACAAGTGTTTGGGTTGTTTGGTTGTTTGGTTACCCATAAGGCTCTTCTCTAACCTGCGAACCGCATGTTCCGAGACACTGATGCTGCGGGAGCGGAAAGCGTCCATGGCTGACAGGTCCCTCAGCTCTTTAACAGGAGAGCTGCTGCTATTGGCTACAGCCGCTGCCGCCCTCGCCACTTTAGCTGCCCGCAGACTGGGCGGCGATGAAAACCCATGGCGAAGAGCGAGGGGAAAGGACCCGGGTTGGCAATGTGGTGGCAGTGGGCAGTAAGGGGGTGGGTCATCGTGAGGGTGGTGTGGTTTGGAAGTGTAGGGGGAGCGTGTGGTGTGTACAGGTAAACCAGGAGACAGCAGGGATTGTCACCCAAGCACCAGAGCAACACGAGCAGGTGACCGAAGGACACACGCCACGCAGGGGACAGAGGACAGGGTAACAAAGGTCAGGGGTCACAGGAGAAAGGGGGGGGGGGGGCCAGGAGCGATGTAGGGAGTTTCCAGGATGACATGACCACCCCCCAAAACCACAACCACAACGCAGCACCCAATCGCAGGAGGCAGGGGAGGGGACAAATGAAGAATTGAAAGAAAAACAAAACAAGGTGAAAATTAACAGCAGTGAACACTATGAATCAGATCACAGGAGAGCGGAGGAAGAAAAAGAGGTAAACAAAAAAAAAAAAAAAAGATAAACATCAACTTAAAAAGGAAAAACAGACCAGCAGAGGGTAATATAGCTGTTTGCTACTCGTAAAAGAAAATACACACAGAAAGTATTCAGGAGAGCAACAAAATAAACATTATTTCACACAGCAGGTACATCGTGAAGCCAAGGACTCGTACAGGAAGAGTAAAATAGTAGGGATGAACTCAGCACAGGCCTGAAATCATGGAAGTTAAAACACATGAAAAAAAGAAAACATACAACTGAAAAATGAAATGCCTCGTTACACCTGAAGGTTGGAGTATTGCAAGCACACACTTTATACTCTGGGATCGGAAATGAAGCACCGAATGAAACTAAGGGAGATCGCACTTCATGATATTTGTGGATTTTTGAGAGAGGGGGGCTAACTATGAAAAAGGAATCCATCTGAGATAATTCACATTATATCTGACTTGCATTACTTCAACCGGACAGTAGGGGATGAGCAGCACAAGGACGGATTGCTGGATGACGGATGATAACACAAAAGATGGAACGTTGAAATATGAGACCAGTAGAAACTGCTATGACTTTGTTGTAAAAGCTGTGACAAACAGCGAGGGTGTTAGGAGGTATTCTGGAATCAAATATAATGTTAGTGCTAGGGCACGAAAGAGACTTAAGGCGTTACTTGATTTCCCTAAAACATACAGTCTATAATTTCTCAGCAGATAAGGAGTAGGAATTTAAATGTTAAAAGCTGCAATGAATATTGCGGCGGCAAAACGAAAAGGGGAAAGCAAAGTAAGGGATCAGCCTACATAGAGGGAGGGTATAGAGTGGTCTCAAAACATATTGGTAACTTTTTATTGTTATTTTGAAATACTTCCTTCACACTCTCTGTAGTTATTTTTGAAGGGCTCCACACTTCACAGGGAAATTGGCAAAATCTCTTAATGACGACGTGGGGGAAGAAAATGTGTGACACGGCCAACATCTGTGAAGGAAAGATTCAGACTCGGCCCTCTTAGGTCTGCTGAGTCACAGCCTCTGATCAGTGTCCTTCGCTCTGTTATCACCCACATTATACGTTGAGCAGTGAAGACACAGACAACTGAGAAACATTCACATCATGTACAGATGAGAATGACGCCTGGCTGAGAAAAAGCATCCTTACACCGCTGTGTGAAAAAAAACGTGTGTATTTCTCTTTTGCTGTATTTAAAGTCTGCTAGAACGATGGCTTTAAACGGTCGAGATGGCAACATGTGACAGGAGAACGCAAACAGCCTTTCCACACATGCCATTTCTAGTGATGTACCATTACCTAGATGCTTCAGGTTGTGGACAAAGACACAAGAACAGCCCTCTCTAATAACACAAACATTAAATCTCAGTTTCACTTTTAACTAACATTATATGATAAAGGTGTTCATGTTGTTTTGTCCACCACCCACTAAGTCATTCGTATGAGTTTTGTGGCAAAACTGAAAACATTTATACGTGTAAAACGTTTAAACCATAGGTAAAAATGAACTAATGATCACCATGGCAACCTGAGAGGAGTCAATGTGACAATCACCCCACAGTACCAGTCATGCTGAGTCCCCCAGTTACCTTGGCAACCCCAACCCTCTCACACATCAACGGCCACATGGCCAGTGTCCGGTGCTGGTCTGAGGTTGTGTGTGTACGGATGCTTTACCTCTTGGGCCTCTCGTTCAGGCTGGTGCTTCGGGCACGAAAGGAACTTTGCTCGTGGCCGTCGTCGAATGGCAGCAGGGCGTTGGAACGCAATCCCTGAATAAAAAGAAGAGGGTATGAGTTTAATGATAGAGAAAAACTGAAATAAAGATCAAGACGATACAGGATGAGCAGCAGCTCCTAAACACTACTAAGAAGGCTGTAACGGTAACTGAACGTTAAACTTTGATGGGATACTAGTAGAAATTTAACGATATCAATAACTGTTTTTAAACCAAAACAACAAAGATAGACGCTCTAACACGCAAATCTTGTTTAGTTTCTGTTTTTTTTTAATGATGAAACTTTGCAAACGGTCTAAATTACACAAAAACATTGGCTTCATTTCTTTAATCGAAACACTGACAATGTTTTTGCTTATAATTGTCCCAATAAAAGGGTAAAAATAATACATCTCAATTGTTAGTCATGATCCAGTTGAACCGCCCTCTGAGTCGCTTTGAGTGTAAGATATGACTGGAGATCTGTATTTTTTTTATTCTGTCCTTTTTGATACCATCCATCTTTGAAATGATGGAGATTGTATTGTTTGTTACCATGTGTTTAAACACATGGTATTAAAGTTTTGAAGTCCAAAAAATGTTGCCAGCGTCAGACTATACTGGACACCAGTGGGTTTTGTTGACTAAAATTATAAATTCTGCCATCGATGCCGATTATAAGACAAAGAACTAGAATAAATTAATTCCAACATCACTCTTTTGTGTGTATGTTCAGTACAAAGCTACATTCTGGACACTGGTATGTTAAGTTATTGTTAAAATAGGAATAAAAAAGGCAAGTTCTAAAAGAATCCATGAGGGTACCTTTGTGATGTACTGAACAAAGTCTTTGCGAAAGGGGAGTCTGCAGCGTATGAACCACATTGCGATCACGTGGTGCGCCAGGGACACGATGTACTGGTTAAACCTGAAGTGAAGAAAGGTCAGTGTGTCCATGCATATCATGATACATGTTTTTCAATCAATCAATCTGTATTTGTATAGCGCCAGTTCATACCAAATGTTATCTCAAGACACTTTACAAAAGAGCCGGTAAAAGACCTTACTCTTTGTGTGTGTGCGAGCTCTTACTTTGAAGGGTTAGTGTAGGGAAGAGAGATGGCAAACACACTAACATACTGCTCAGCTACAAAGTTGGCATAGAGATGGGGTAGGCGCACCAGAGCTGTGAAAGAGAATGGAAAGAGAACATCATGAAAGCTTTCATTTTGTTCTCACACTGTGACAGTCGATGAGACTAACTGACCTTGAACATTCAACAATGGGAAATAAAGCTTTGCGAAAAGAATGAGCTTTCAAAAAAAAAAAAAAAAAAGGTTTAGGTGCTTACTGGACAGGAACTCGAGCATAGGAGATGCCATGGCAACGGTTGCAGAGATGTGGGTTAGCTTAACGATGAGAGCGGGGAGGAGCTTGATCATGATGTCGGGCATCTCCACGGTGCACATTGTGAGAGCCACAACACACTGCTTGGCACAGCGGTAAATGAGTCCGGTCTCGAGGCACTGAACCAGCTCTCTCTACAGAGAAAACAGGACCGTTACACCATTCCAGGCGTATGGTCTATTGGCATTGTAATGACTTTTATTGAAGTGCGTGTGGGTTGTTATTGCCCAAATGTGGCTCCGAACATATGACTGCAGTAAATACAACATGCAAACTTCAAACCATCCTAGAAACCAGAGTGTGCTGTCCATGATGGTCAACTCTTTGTTTTTTTTACCTGTCTGGACTGCTCCAGGTAGTTATGATAGGAAGTGATCGCTGTGAGGACAGGAACCACGGCCAGCTGAACATCAGTGCGAGAGAACTGCTCGGGGGTCTTTTTCAGGCGCTCTGAGATCAATCGATCTGTCACCTAGAAGCACAAAAATATAAAGAACTCACATATGTACACATGTCGATTTGCATGTGAAAAGACTTCAGAGTTCATTTAAGTTTAATGTGAGTGTCTTTCTTTGTCCTACCATGCAGCAGAGTGCAGAGCAGAGCTGATCCAAGCTACAAGGGGACGTGAGCAGCAGAACTTTGTACTGCAGCGTCCACGGCAGCTTTTCGAGTACCAGCTTCAGCACCTTCCAGTCTGTTTCCTGCAAGCATAAGGTACATATTGAACGTCTGTTAAAGGTCAAGTATTATGCAAAATACACGTTACCATGTTTTTCTAACACGAATGAGTCCCTAGTCTGTCTACAAACCCCCTAATTTTGAGAAAAGTCCATCCTCTCCATTTTTTGCCTGCTCCACTTTTCAGAAAATTTGTGCTCAAACAGGCCGTTTGGAGATTTTCCCTTTGTGACATCACAAAGGGCAGTAACTCCTCCCCCAGGTGGGTGACACTCCCACAGCTAGGTGTTTGTTCTGCCCTCTGAGTCTGCCTTCTCACCGTAAACTCATCATGGTGCAAGAAACCCCGAGCCACCCAAGCCCTTGTAAAGGGGCGTGGTCAGACACAGCTCATTTACATTTAAAGGTACAGACACAGAAACAGCCTGTGCTGAACAGGGCCGAAATAAAGAGCTTTATAGACATGATCAAATACAGGATCAGAGTGGATTTAGAACAAGAAACTTGATAAACTTGTGTTGGGGAGCTCTGACACTTATTTAAACTTACTGAAAAAATCCCTGTTATCTATGTTTAAAGTGCAGATACATCAGGGAGCATAAGCAATAGTGTGCTTTTTACTCCTCAAAAAAATAGCAGACACAATTTCAAACACTTTGTTTGGTATAATAATTAAGTCTTTGTACCATCTTAAGGCACTGCAGGAGAACACTGAAGGCAGGTGCATAGGGCAGGTAGGCTGAGCGTATAGTGGCTGTTGAAGCAGAAGGAGCAGTGGGGGGAGCAGGGCTGCCAGCAGGAGGAGATGTTGAACCTGCAGGTTTCTTTTCACTCACACGCTTCTCAGGCTCCCTGAAACAACAAAAGACACATGTAACTACTGTGTACACTTTATCTGACTGAATTGAAATAAGCAAAGCAGATGCAGGTAGAAGCTGTGGGGGGAAACAAAGTTGTGTGTGTGCTTCCTCACCCTGTGTCGCAGTAGCAATAAGGGCTGAACCTCATGGCCCTGTCTTTGTTGGGCACTCCGAGACGATGAAGAGAGTCTGCTCGCATCATCAGGAAGAAGTCAAACACCTAAAAAGAGCGAATAAATGTTTGAACAAAAGAGGTCCTCAGGCATTTATGATGTAAATTAAGGAAGAGTTAGACGTATGGACAGAAAATGAACCGGTCCTACCTGCAGTCTAATACTGGAAGCAATAGCTGAACAGTACTTGTTCTTGTAGTGAAGCTGCAGATGACTGATCAGCAACTCATACACACGACTAGCGTGACTGGCTGGTAGGCTGTAAAGCTTGCTCTGTCAGGAGAGAGGAGGATGGACGTTTATCAGCAGGTCCATTGCATTTCTCTTAAAAAAGCCTGTTGTCCTTCATTCCCCAAGAACATTATGATGGAAACCCAAAAGCACAAGTTCAAAAGTAAAACCCTAAAAGAAGTGGAGAATATTTTTTTCTGCTATGTGTACAAAAATCACTGAAGATTTAACAGGATCAAAAAACAGTTATACATTTTGGCTTATATTTACTTATTCAGAAGACCAGTCAATAGATCAGGTATATTATTCTCTTTTTCACATATTCAAACAGATTTCTATCAATAACTGATTGATGTGTTGTTTAAAATGCAGGGATAAAAACATATCTCTCTCTCTCACAGTCTCTCTTTCCTCAGTGCCAACACAACAGCTATGCAGCACACACCTGTTGCTACTTTTTCACTTTATAGGGATGCATGTTGATCAGCTGTAACTGTTTCTGTCCTCTAAGTCTGACACATAAACTGTAAATATGACTGGGTGAAGCCTGAGTGATGTCAGCCATATGTTCCTGCAGGGGGCTCCAGAGGCTCATCAGCATGTTGGAAATCCTGTCTCACCTTAACTTTCAGTCAGCCTAACGGCAGGCTTAGAGCTGGAGCTGAGGCGGGTTTTAAGCCTCTTGACGAACCGTTACATCGCGCCCACCTGTCAATCATGTCAGCTATGCACCTAACTATGGATAACACTGCTTTTTGTGCCAGTGTTCCTGTAGCCACTCAACGAACTGGAGGATTTTGCTATTCCGCATTGGCTTCATTTTTAAAGACCGGATGTTTTTTTTGTTTTTTTTTTTATTTTACAGGGACATTGCATATTAATAAACATTTCAGTAAATATGCCAGAGTTAGCCAAAAGGCTAATTTTCATCTGTTGTCCCTGGCCAGATTTTATAAAAGGCTCCCTAAAAAAAGTGGAGCAGAAGTTTTGTAGAAAGAACGGTTACCAGTCATGTTGGGTGCATCATTCGGTGGGAGGGGCTTAGCGGTGTGATACGAGGTAGCCGAGAGAGTATTTTCCAATGGAACGTTCATGCTGCTTACTGCCACGTTATCAACCCAATATCTGAACATATTTGATAAACCTCATTAAGATGAACCAGGCTCTCTTTAGTGTGTGTACCTGCAGGATTTCCAGCAGGCCCAGTATAGCAGTCCTGACGTCCTCCATGGGAGACTCGGCGGTGGGGTCTCTTTCTGTAACCTCCAGGGGTCCTGGACACACCAGAGAGCGACTGGCCACCTACAAGGAGGGAAATAAATGTATCTCAACAGTGAAGGTTAAAGAGGGACAACACCTGCCCCCCCCTGTGCTCGTCAGAATGCATTTCTTTACCCGCTCAATGATGTCTAACAGGCTGGTGAAGTGGTGCGTGTTGCAGCCCTCAGCGAGGTCCACCAGCAGCTGGGTAGCCTGTTTTCTGACCGGCAGATCCCGGTCTTCAGCTATCCCACTGAGCTGGGGGATCACTACCATTTCTATCAACTCATCCTTAAACACACCAAGGAGAAAAACCAGACATTTGGTTTCATATTGTGAAGCTGCACAGACAAAACTGCATCAGAACAATACCACATGAATCACAGTGTGTGTGTTTTCATGTGTGAGGGGGTGCAGACCTCATACAGCTGCCGGTTGGTACTGAGAACGAAGGACAGGATGTGAAGCACTTTAATCCTTATCACGCTGCGACTCTCGTTTCTTTCAGAGTAGAAAAATAATAGAAGAGTAGAAAACAACAGATAAAAGTTGAAACAGGAATCGTGGTGATGAGAACCAAAGCGAGACAGATAGTTCAAATGTGGTCACTGAATTTATTGATATTATCATCATTCTCTTTGTGTGCCTTCTTCTACCTGAAGAACTTCTCCATGAGGCGGTGAAGGCTCTGAATCCAGCCATCCTTGGCTGGCTGAATAGACTGAGCCCTGTACGAGATGAGGGTCAGCACTGACGCATCCTGTCACACATACACACATAAGATATTGAAAGAGGCAGCGGTGTGCAAGAGGACGAAATCAAAACACTTTAAAGCCAAAACACAGGATGGAGAATGAAAAGAGCTTACAGGTCTCTTGTCGGCACACTTCTCCACCAGACTGAAGAACTTCTCTGTAGAGCCATGGTAACCATTCTGTTCGTACAGCTCCTCTACGGTGGTCAGCAGCTCGTAGACAATGGACTTCAACTCTGCACTTCCTATCATCTGTGAAAGGAACATGAGATAGGCTAAGTTGAAGTTGAAGTTCACTAAGTGCCTGATTGTGTGCACATGTGAGGGTGTGTGTGTGTGTGTGTGTGTGTGTGTGTGTGTGTGTGTACCTGGATCTGCTGCAGCAGTCGCTCTATGATTCCCAGCAGGATGTCCCAGGTGACCACCTGCAGCTCTTTACCGTACTTCTTTATCAGTCTTGTGATGGAGAGGACGATTTCATAGGACACCACCTCATTGGCACACGACATGGCCTGTGTGGAAGGGATGAGAAGGTATATCAGTATAAAACATATTCATTTAATTCATAGCATCAGACAACCTGCTATTGAGTAATTATGTGTGTCAAACATGCATTACATTTGTTTATGTTCTTTATAAAATATGAGGATTCCTGCCAAGATAACAACATGAGACATTAACTTTACCTGACAGCACATTCCTCCAGGGGAAGAATATTTATATATGGGGTGGCTGCACACTTTGAAAAATATATGACTATCTATTTTAAACAGATATTTTTGGCCTTTATTTGACCGGACAGGCATGAAATGTCACGTGAATAAGAAAATCCACAAAAAGATAATAAAAACTCATGAGACATTTCTCAGTGTCTCATGTCTCAAATTTTAGACCCTTTCAATTAAAAAAAAGATCTCTTAAAGATCTCTTAAAAGGCTTTATATGCAATTTTTTGATCCAGCAGATGTCGCCCTTGAGCATCAGCATGAAATCAAAACAACTCGTGCTCGATGTTGTTACACCCATTGTAGACAGTCATGACTCAGAGTGTTACTTTCAGAGGATATATTTGATTTCTATTACATTTAAGTCTGAAAAATCACATATAAAGCCTTTAAGGACCCTAAGGGACTCTGATTGACTTTATGTTCGTCTGTGTTACCTTGTAGAACGATGGCAGAACAAGTGTCGGTGTGTTTTTGAGGGCGGGCAGTCTGTGTGCACCCCAGAGTGCCATCCCAACAAAGAATACAGCTCCTCTCAACAGCGGAGCGTCCTCCATGTACACCCTGGTGGAGGTAACAGGTAGTTAAAAAGACACCACATCCCAGTCACAATAACATACGTTCATTAATGCAACACAGGCTCTGAATTAAGCTTAAACCAGGGACAATACCTCTCCTCCATTATACGGCACATGGTGTAAATGGCACTGTGGCCGAGGTGAGTCCCCAACACCTTTCTCATCAACTGGAGAAACGAGGAAGAACAGCACATAGCAGAGAGTGGTTATCCGCTCACATAGGAGCCTTCAGATAAAAGAGAAACTGTGTGGATGTTTCGGTTATCTCACCTTCCAGCAGGATTCACAGAACTCCTTTACGTTGACCGTCCGACACAGCGTGATGATGAAGACTGTGAGAGAGTCTGACGGCAGGCAGTTGTAACACACCACTGCATCCAGAACTTGGAGCGCCACCTAGACGTGTCATACAAACAAGACATGTAAGTAGGAAATAAAGAAGCAGATATCAACACAACTGTTTACATTAGTTGAGACTGCAGCTGGAAATAAATCACTATGTGAATAAATTAACTGATGCTTAGATCATTGTTGTTTCAATAAAACAGATTCAATAGTTTTATTTGTCACCTGCTCAGACAGACTGGCTGTGTAATGACTGTTTCACAAGGCCATGAAATAAAACACTCAAGCATTACTCTCAGATACGTCAATGTAGAAATGTGAAAATGAAAAAGAGAAAAATATGTAAATGCACTAAAAATGTTTGTTTTTTTAAATACAGTGAACAGTGTAATGTATTGTTCAATTTCCAAAGTCACAAAAAAAGGAAAAGTACAGTGAAAAACAAACCTCCTAAGCAACACTGGGGGCGCTGATAGCCCAGTGGTTAGTGTACGCAGGCAATGGTCCTGCAAGCGAGCGGCCTGGGTTCAAATCTCACCTATGGCTCTTTTCCTGCATATCATTCCCCACTCTCTTTGTCCCTGATTTCTTACTCTATCCACTGTCCTATCTCTCTAATGAAGGCATAAAAAAACCCAAAATAACATTTTAACAACACTGAAAATTCAGTATTTCAAAACCCAATCATTAGAGAATCTACAATATTTTGCTACTATGTTGTGTTGTGTTTCTTGGAAACCTTAGCAGTGACTGTTGCTGAAGTTTAACAGCAAGAGAAGACATACCTCGATATCTGTTGAAGAAGTCGTTCTGTTACACAGCAGACATATTTTCCTGCACACCAGAATAAGCATAATGCATGTTAATAGCATGTCCTGCATGTCAGAAGAATAGTGTTTATGTGTCTGTATTTCAGACTTACTGGACCATGACGGACACGTTTTGGTCCAGATAGCAGCTGTTAAACTTCACCAGATTTACAAGAACGTGAAGGAAATCGGAGGTGAGTCCGATGTCCATCCACAGGAGGACAAAGCGTGCTGGGGGAAAAAAATTAAAAATATCACCAGTGAATAGGGTGTGCTGTTATTACTAATGGGAAGTGGTGAGGCCCACAGTGATGAAATGTAATGTTACCTATGTCCTCCTCCAGGTACGTTATGTCTTTTCCGTTCTCGGTTAGGGCTTTGAAGACTTCCAGCCTATCAGAAAGGTCCTCGTTGCACGGCTGGTAGTCTCGAATCACCTTAAAAAAGTAGGCTCTCAGAGGGCCGAGCCGCTCACCCTGCACATAAAGAAGGAAACAGAATGAATCAAACTTTGTTCACTCTCTGTGAGTGTCTGTGAGTGCACTGTGTTAAGTTACCTGTCCTTGTATTATCGCCCTCAGCAGCTGGAGGACAGCATGTCTGGCTTCAGGTGGTTGTTCCAGGGTCAGCATATCCTCAACAGCTTTCCATACCGTCTCCACTGCATGCTTTAAAAAAAACACACACACACACACATACAGTTAGACAAACACAGTAAATTAAATCTACTGCTATGTCAACAATATCAAGCCAGAGCAGACTCACCTCCTCAAATTTTTTGGTTTTGGCGAGATCGCATACATGATTCATTGTGCGAACACGGTTCCCCAATCCGCAGTCCGGCTGGAGCTCCTGGAAAAACATCACGGCCATGACACGATGCAAAACATGACAGAAAAATATATTTTAAATAAAGGTACGTGTGAGTGAGTGTGTGAGTCTTTTCTGCACACCTTGATGATCTCAGTCGTGATTATAAACTCAGACAGTCTCGTGTCGCTCTGCTTCGTTGGTGGCCGAGGGGGTCCAAGCCCGAAAATGCCCTTGACTTTGTCCCTCAAGCTTTCCTTGCTCTGCTGCTTGTTCATTGCCAGACCTGGAGGAGTAAACTACTGCACAGGCTGGGACCGATCGCCACCTAGAAGAGAGTAACACGTGATAAGGCCAGAGGAGGAACTAATGGACAGAAGCCCTTTAGTTACAGGCCAGACAGAGCAGCAGAGTTTCTCCCAATACGACTTCATTATTGACAGTTGGTTGGATGGCAATGCTAAACCCAGTTAACCTAATTTGCATTCAGCCATTAAAATGTATCTTGTTCTTTCTTTTTTTTTTGAATAAACATTACCTGTGATTCAAATCTGAAAGACAGTTCTCACTCTACCTACAAAAACCCTTTCAACAGTTTTCATAGAAACTTCATCTTTAGTCATGAACTGAAAACACTCAAAGTGATATATGTGGATTACCCAGAGTATATGATTGTCTGTTTCCAGGAGGACATAGAACCTGTGAAGCTATGTTCATGTCTAGATGCAATTCCATCATTTCAAAAGGAGCAATATGTAACTCTGACACATAGCCTTTAAGAGCCCTGTCTCCCCCCGCCCCCTCCTCTATAGAGTCCATTTGCACGCAGGTTTCCATGTAGCGTACACTGAAGCTTCAGTGTTTAGCCAATTTGGCATCTGGCTTGAAGCTTTTCTGCGGAATAAGCTCTCATCGTTTTCCAAAAGTATTTCCAATATTTAATAATAATAATAACAATAATACATTGGTTTTTTTAATAGCGCTTTTCTAAGAACTCAAAGACGCTTTGACAAAATATAAAACCATAAAACAGAACAAAAAACGACGAGGACAGTACAATGAAGAAGTAATGTAGGTGGGGGGGGGGAGTTAGTGGTTGTAGGCAGTGTTGAAGAGGTGAGTTTTGAGGGATTTCTTGAAGGAGGTGAGTGTGGGGGAGTCTCTGATGTTTTTTGGGAGTGAGTTCCAGAGGGTGGGAGCAGCAACAGAGAACGCCCTGTCCCCCCAGAACCGATACTGATCCTATTTTTGCACATTTCTGCTCGTGGAGCTTATCAGAAACATGTCAAAGGCTTATCAATAGAAGTGATTCTACACGACTGTCTTTAGGTCGGGTAGAATCGGTTATATCTGAACCAGTTCGCTTTCCTGCTTCCATCGCGCCAAAATCTGCTGCTTTGCCATTTGCCTGTGCGGTTTTAAGGCACCCCCATACGTCCGTGTGCCTTAAAACCGCCTACCTTCTTTTGTCAAAACAAACACAAACCATTCTGGACTGGAATTGAAACTAATGAGAAGGACATGCTGGTTTGAGCATTGATGTGAGAGAAGCCAGCACTTCAACATAGCACGTTTCCTTAACGTCAGATGATACAGTAAGGTCACTTTATCATTAATTCAGTCGACATCTTACATTTTGGCTTTGCAATTACTCTTTTGCTAATGTGGAGTCGTAAAACGGATGTTAGTGAAGTTAAATTCTTATCCATGAGGAAATATGAACTTTCTATTAATGATTAATTTATGGCATTTGCACTTTTGTCTCCCACCTCATTTTGTTACCCTTTGATGGTCTGATGCTTTTTAGACTGCATAATGAAACTTCAGGGTCTACCCAGACAAGCATGTTTAATGAACCTGCAAACATGTGGCATTTCAGAGGGTTTCACACTTTGATGAGAGTGTGTGTTCTTACTTGTGCCAGGGAGGTCAAGTTTTCTGTGCTTATTTTTTGTTTGTCAGCAGGATTATAGTGAAACAAACGACTGAGCTGATTTTCAGGGAACTTAATGGAAATGTTTCTCCCCCACAGAGATCACAGAAATGTGTCTTTGTGGATGTGTTCTGTCCCAAGCTGAGCATTCATAGTAGGACTGCACAACTAATCAATATTTAACAAGAAATAACCATGTGCAATAAACAGATTGCGATTAAAAAAAACATTGTTAACAAGCAATGCTGTTAACTGCTGTTTTGGATGAAAACCTGGGCATAATGTTCATGTTTTCAAACCATCATTTCTGAAGCAGTCCGATGAAGCTTGAGCTCGCGATCAGCTTCCCTCAGATTAACTGGTGCCAATTTAGAGGTGAAAAGTTATTTTAAAAACATAAAAAACAGAGGATACGCATTAAAGCACATTTATTGCACTGTAATGTAGAGCAATGTTCTCACACTCTGCATGTTTTTCTCATATCGTGCAGGCCTGATGTGTAGATCTCATATAATAAACATGTTGTTGTGCTGTGTTGTTGGTGGCAGCATTAAACTCCCTTTAAACTGTCAACATCAAAAGCTTATTGAACTATAGCGTGGCTGAATGCAGAAACCATCAGAGGTAAATGATGAAATAGGTTTTTAATTTAATTGGGAGAAAGAGATCATGTACAACTCTTTTCTTATAGGCAGCCATGTGTGACATGTGCAGTGTGTCAACGTGTTAACACGGTGGGACAGGTTTGGAGAATTTGTTGTCATGTGGACTTGTGAGGGGAGAGGAGGGGGAGCAGACAGACAACGACTGTACTGTTTCAGTTCATCAACAACAACAACAACAACAACAACAACAACAACAACAACAGCACGCAGTAGCTTTCAATCACAGCCAGTAATACATGTGAACTTTCTACAACAAACTTTGGTTTAATCCAGTGATAGGCACAACAACAACTGACCCGTTAGCTACACTTTTCACTGCCTGCTATGGGTTAGCATTTCTCTGTGGTGTTCAAGGTCTGGTAGCTGAAAAACAAAAACCCCTCCTCCTCCTCCTCCTCCAGCTTCCTCCTCATCCTCCTCTACCTCCACCTTCTCCTCACCTTGTCTCGGGCTGAGTCACTTTCGGTTTCATTCAGTCGTGTCCATGCATTGATAGAACTCTGTATTTGCTGCCTTTCTCACCCGAGCTCAGTCATCGACTCCTCGACCGGATGTCACAGTAATGCTCTGACAGGGGCACTTCCTACAAAAACACGTTGAAGTGTACTTACTGACGGGAAATGTAGTTCTCAGCCAGCTATCTGAACTACAGTAGAGCCAGTTACAACAGTCTGGGATTATGTAACAGCACACATTAGAAGCACTACATTGTTTTGCAAACTGTTCAATTTCCTAATCCAGCCGTCTAATAGTTTAACATATTGACACGATATGTCAACTTTACCCCGCAATGTACTCAGCTAGCTAAACATGCTAACGATTCAGAAGTTGGTTCCTTGTTGGAGTCACAAGTTGCCGCCAGGCTGCCTGTGAGATATGAGGGACAAAAAAATAAATGAATAAATAAATGAATAAAAAAATAAATGTTGGGAGAAATGCATATAATAATGTATAAATAATTCAATAAATGCATTAATAAATATATATATAAATAAATGCAACAATTCATATAAAAATTTATATATAAATAAATATATTCAGATATTTATTTATGTATTTCTGTGTCCATGTTGTACAAGGAAAAGTAAATATGTAAATGTGGGTCGCCCTAACATTACTGAAGTAGAATTGGTCAAGTTTGAAAAACAGACAGAAGCAAATTTACATATATACTTTTCCTCTTACAACCTGGACACAGAAATAAATAGATGTATAAATGTAAAAACATTTAATGTGGAAATGTATGCATTGATGCATATATAACTGTAGAAATACGCTAATAAATGAATAAATACATGTAAAAATATATAAATAGCCTTTTTCATTAACAAAGTGTATTTATCATTTATTCATTGATGTATTGTTTTCAGCATTTATATATTTATTGATGCATTTATTTATTTATTCACACTTCAGTCATTTTTTGTCCCTCAGTGAGCGGAGCTTTGTGATCACTGCATTGCTTTGAAGGACGCAGTATGATCTCTAATAAATAATCTAACAAGGAGAATGGCTGATACCAAATTGATATTTGATCACTTGTATAATTTAGACAATATCTTTTGAACTCATCCATACATTTTACCAGCTAAAGAGTATTTTAAGAAAATAAAATTGTAATTTTTGTAATGAATGTCCTGAAATTGTTGCGCTGGTATTGCCCAACTGTAAAGGCCAAATTTCACATACATTAATCTTAATTCACAGGTTAAAAAAACGTGCTTCATTGCGTTCAGTAAAGAGTTGAAACAATACATTCATTCAATTCAGTGGAAAGCAATAATAACTGTAACAATAGGAACTATTGTTCTGATGTAAGAAGACTGCTAAGAAACTAATGCTCAAAGCCAAAGCTGCTGGTCAGGACCCCTATCTTGCAATTCTGGACCATCGCAACACACCATCGCAGGGCCACCAACACTTCCTCCCACAAAACCAAGTCTTCTTAAGCCAAAAGCACATCAGGACCTGAAAAACAAACAACATCGCTAATGTGCCTTCTATAACAGGTCAGCCAGAGATCTAGAAACGCTTGATAAAGGGGACTTCGTGAGAATACAGCCACTTAACCCCCACACTGTCTGGAGAGCTGGCAGGATACAAAGACAGATTGATGCGACATCCTATGAGGTCCAGTTGGATTCAGGTGGTGTTGTAAGGAGAAATAGGAGACACTTGAGACACGCTCAAGGGACAAACCTGAATGATCTCATTGACAAGGATACTGTTGACCCCTGTCACACACTCAGAGACCGATCCTCCACACATCGTGTCTGAAGGAGCCGCAGACAATGAACCTGGCAACACACCAGTCACTACTAGATCTGGTCGCACAGTGGTGAAACCACAACGCTACAAAGACTTTATGACGTAGCCAAAGGAAGAAAAAAAGAAAAAAAGGGGAGTGAGAGAAATAAATGCACTTAAGTTGATGTTATGTTATGCTATGTTTCTGCATTTCTTGCAATGTTATGAGATGAATGCACTAAAGTTTTAGAAATGTTGATAGGTTCGGACAAGGAAAAGCTTAAACAAATATGTGTTAGGTTCAGAAAATAAATGATAATCCGTACGATGCCTTAGTTTAGAAAACTGTTAAAACCAAAACATACTTTAGATTCATGTATGTTAACTTGAAAGAGGCGACTTTACGTTACTTCAGTACATATATTATTGCTGCCAAAGAAATTTAAACAGTTCAAAGTTAAACTATTGAGTTGTATATGTATGATATACAGTATGTGGAAAATCCAATTGTTCAAAAGAGAAAGGAAGTACCAATAGGAACTATTGATCTGAAGAAGCAACACGGACGTTTTAGGATGTAACACAGACGGAGAGCTGCATGTCACACAGGTTGAATGTAAAGAGTTTCATTAAACTTGAACACCTGGTTGGGTAGATATTCTGTGCCTTTTGATATATTCTGTGTCTTTTGAGTACATAAAGAGCAGAATATAACAACAACTGTAACAGCTTGTAATGTGTTTAAAATCTTTACACAGAATTTGAACACCCACCCCAGCATAAACTATCTATGATGACTAAAGAAAATACAAACATAACAAAGCGTGACCGAGTGTGGAAGTGTATTAAGATGGGCTAACTTTTGTTGTGGTTCAGTTTTATTTAAATAAAAATCGATTGATAAAGGTGATCTGAAAGGTTTTGATCTCATATAAATCTCTAGGCCTGAATCTAACCATAATTAACTGGAATAAATCCAGTTCTATAAATAATAATATATTGCACTGTGTCATTGTATTCCTCTTTAAAAAAAAAAAAAGTATTTCAAGTTGTAAGAACAGAGTTATTTACTTAATTTCAATGTCAAACTTATTAATTCAATCTAGAATGAAAAATTTAAGACACTGCATAGATTTTGTTCATAATTTTTTATTAAAGTGTCTTTTTGTTATTCCCATGGATCGATTTCCTCCTTTTTTTTAAACTTAGCAGCACGCACAATGAGCTTCACTGGAAAACATCAGGCAGATAGTTGAGAAAATGTATAATTGTTTTTAACTTTGTATCATATTTCTGTTATTTATCCACATCATTTCTTTTGTGTTGCCAAACGTTCCCAAATATATGTTTCGGTTTCTCATTGGTCAACTTTTTATGTGTATGAATATGGTTAATGCTATATAATATTTTGATAACATCGACAGCTTAACTCAGTTGTTGCCTTTCTTAAAGTGTAAATTACATTATTTAATACAAAATTAAAAATGTCACTATAAAAACGATTTATTTACCAAAGTCTTTCGCCCCCTCGTGGCAACTATCGGCCTTTCTGACGAATGAGAAACCAACTTCAGCTTCAACTCAATGCCTCAATTCCGCTGCTGCACGAGGGTATGTCATTTAGTCCACTGTTTTGTAATGTCGTCTCCTTATTTCATGCAAAGCAGGTCTGTCACCACTCGGCTTGGGACCAAAAATACTGGCTGCACATCTGCAGCAACTCTCAAGTCCAAACTCACCCGCAGGCAAGATATGTTGATCCAGTTTCCTTCGTGGCAGTGAAAGTGGAGGAGGAGGAGGCGATGGTCTCTGTGCAAAGACCCTCCTCGGCTCCCTTATCAACGGGTAATGTTTATGTTTGACTACTCGCTGAAAACAGAACATTAGAGTATTACATCTGTATTCATTGAACCAGCTCTTAGCAGACTGCCGTGCTGAAGCTGGGGAACACTTTGTTGTTCTGACTCATTCGCCCTTTGGACTCTCGCATAGTGATTGATTTCACATTCGCAGATATACGAGTAGATCTGATAGAGACAACCTGCCAACAAGGCTGCTGCAGGCTGGACACACAGTCTCATCTGACGACCCCATTAAGACGACACGCAGACTTTATGTGTCCTGCAGGGGTCTCGAGATGAGTAATAGAAAATAAACATTATGACACTGCACTATAGAGTTTCTATTTCATATCACTTTCATGTTATTGTTTATTTTTCGATTTTCCAAACTACCAGATACCTTTAACCTCAAGCTAAAATGTCTCAAACATATGGAGTGCCTCTAGGTTTGTGGTTATTGGAAATATCCCGTCTGTTTGACTGTGACCATGCACAATCCACAAAGAGAGGTCCATTAAGAGATGTTTTCAGAGATTGTTGTGGAAGAACTTAAAGCTCCTGTGTGGGAACTTTTGGTTTGTGTAGTTTTTTTTCCACCCCCCTGTAGACTAAGTGGTACGTCTCCATGTCTTCGCTGATCTTGTCTTAGACATGAATAAGGACAGTTTTGGACTGTCAAATGTATCATCATGGGAAATGTGTCAAAACACCGACACCTACCCTGTGGCAGCGGTTTCAAGCATTAAAATGTCATGATACAAATTATAAATCTTATCGCTGATGGTCTCGTTTGCTTTTAAATGTCATTTAGAGTCATCAGTATTCATTTCAGTCTGGTTCCTAACCAGTTAAAAACTCCTCACAGGAGCTTTAACTTACCTGCTCACAGCTCTGTCTCATTAAAACCGATGGCATTCTTTAGAGCGTATAGATTGATCCAGGCCTTATCGTTTATAAACTGGCTGTTCTATCTCTTCTGTGCCCTTTTAAGGTGGTAGCCTTGAACTCCACCCCCGCGGCACGTCCCATCTAAAATCCGAGACGGTCACCTTACCGCTGTCTTCCCACAGCCGCAGGAGGAGGCAGCTAAAGGTGGAATATGACAAAGATGAAGGGGTTACACCGATGAAGACGGAGCACTGGGAACCTCCAGACTGGAAGAAACAGCTGGGACACATCCGGGAGATGAGGAGCGGCCGTGATGCACCCGTAGATAACATGGGAGCAGAGAAATGCTACGACACAGAGGCTCCTGCAAGTGTAGGTGTGGTTTTGATTTTTTTGAGGTCTACATAACTCAGTGGTTTCATATCAAATTATTCTTTGTTCTTCTGTTCTCCTTTCTATGGGCACAGGTAAGACGCTTTCAGGTGTTGGTTTCTCTCATGCTGTCCAGTCAGACCAGAGATCAGGTGACAGCAGCAGCGATGCAGAAGCTTCGAGCTCACGGCTGCAATGTAGAAAATCTGCTCGCTACTGATGATGAAACACTGGGGAAACTCATCTACCCAGTCGGCTTCTGGAGGGTAATACAGAAGTCTTTTTGGTAATATATTTAGGGAGCAATGCTTCTATCTTCTCACCCTGCTCTCCGTTTGATTGGTCTGGCATTTAATTCAACATTTTCCCAACCCGCCCTTCTGCAGACTAAGGTGAAGTATCTGAAGCTGACATCGGCCATGCTGCAGAAAGAGTTTGGAGGGGACATCCCAGACAGTGTGGAGGGGCTGGTCCGCCTACCAGGAGTCGGACCGAAGATGGCTCACTTGGCTATGGACATCGCCTGGGACAAGGTGTCCGGCATTGGTGGGTACAAAATTCTTGAGCTCTATGAGATGTAATCCACCAAATGAGTTCTGCCTAACAGAGCAGCTTGAATTAAGGTTGTAAACATTTGCGATTACTTTTGAGTGCAACGTGCTACAGGATACAAGGATACAGTAGCTGTTACATGAATGATCGTACTGAAGCTTAAAAACTTTGGATCTTCAGTCATAAATTTGACCCAAAGCTGCCACGAGAGAAAGAGAGAGAGAGCAGCTGTGGTTCATATTCAATGGTCGGTTCTACTGAATAATGGGGGATAATTGATGTGGAATATCTTAAAATGGGTACAACTAAAGCCTCGGTCTTAATTGCACAAAAACATTGGCTCCCATTAGGAATAAGAAATTAAAGCTCCTATGAGGGACTTCTTGTTGTGTTGACTTTGAACAAGGTGCAGTGTTTAGCGTTATTGCCTAGCATTAATTGCACATTGATTGTTTTTATTTAGGAGTGGACACACATGTGCATCGCATCTCTAATAGGCTGGGCTGGCCAAAGAAACCAACCAAGAACCCAGAGGAAACACGCAAGGCCCTGGAGGAGTGGTTACCAAGGTAACGGCATGATTAATTCACTGCCAACCCGTACATCCAGATTAGCACAGATCAACAAATATACAGAAATCAGAGTCACTGAAGTTGACCTAGATGCATACAGAACATCAGATGTAACTGTATTGACACCATAGAATATGAAAAGGCAAGTTAAAGTCTCTGGATGTTCTTACAAAAAAAGAAGAGGGGGGGGGCAGTTAATGCAGGTTGAAAGAAAGTTTGAAATGCTCTGCTCACACCTTGTTGCAGGGAGCTGTGGAGTGAAATCAACTGGCTGCTTGTGGGTTTCGGACAGCAGGTTTGTCTCCCAGTCAACCCGCTCTGCTCCATGTGTCTGAACCAGCACAGCTGTCCATCTGCCTTTCAGAACTCTCCAACTAAGAAGCCCAAAACTGGATCCCCTAAGTCTCCAAATCCAACATCCTCCTTAAAAATAAAAGCTGAACATGAATCTGCTGTCAAAGAGGAGGGGACAAAGACTGAGTCTCTCTTCACACCCGTTTCACCCACCACACAGAAAAAGAAGGCAAAAAGAAAAGTTAGTTAAAGGAGCAATATGTGACTCTGCGTTCAAAATGGGTACTGCAGTCTAAATTCATGACACTGGGGAGAGGTGTCTCCCCCCGCCCCTTCCTCTCTTGAGTCGATTGCACATGCAGGTTGCCATGTCGTGAACACTGAAGCTGCAGTGTTTAGCCAGCTCTGCTTTGGTCTTGAAACCTTTCTGCGTTCTGCAGAAGCTTTTTAGGTCGAGTAGAAACAGTTCTATCTGAATCAGTACGCCTCATTTTGTCATTTTATTCAGTAGATGTAGTACAGATTGCTCCTTTAAGTTGTCATACGTTTTGAGCTGTGCACAAGTATAAGACAAGAGGACTCGCACACACACAAACTTAAAACATGCGACTAAGCTAAACAATGTGTGGTTCAGAATTGTTGAGATTTGTCATGTTTATTTGAGGTTTTAGTTGGACACTAAAAGAATATATTTCACTTTTTCTATGAGATGTAATATTTTTGTACTGTTTGTCTTATGATCTTTCTTACTTAATAAAGAAAATATGTCCTGAAACTGGATGTGAAGGTGGGTTTAAAGTGACTGTGATATTTAATGAAAAATTTAGACCACAAACTTAAAAATGATATTACCACAAAATTTGAAATAATAAAGGCCCATCCCAAATAACGGCTCAGGCCCTTATTTTCTAGTCTGGTGTTGCCGCACATTTATACAAAGGCGGGTCTCGATTAGAGGCTGCTGTGCACTGAGTGTTGAAATAGATTGAAGATCAAAAATAAGGAGAAAAGGCAAGACAGTGTTTGAAAGATTTCAGGAATTTCTCTGTCAGGAGGTAGTGTGCCTGAAGCTATAGACCATCGGTGAACCACTGGCCTAAATTACACAATAAGTAAGCCAAGAGAAGTCATTGTTTGCATTCACCACATTGTGACATGCAAGGATTGCAAATAACAGAGAATTTTGAAAAAACACATATATAAACATTTTTTCTTTGTGATCATTAAGATGTCTAACATGAGGGACAGAACCCAAAAATCACTCATGCTTATACAAGTCTTGATTTATTACAACATGATTGGGTTTCTGAGGCCGGCCTATTTCTTACAGCTTATACAACGATTTGAACACAGCAGACAAATTCACATGCAGTGATAACTCATAGATTATAAGGGTAATATATGCTGTGCATAATATCAAACACAATGCACATAATGAAAACTAGTTATATCCAGACCTCTTCTTGACTCCACAGAGTAATAGATGTATATTCTGGATAAACTCAGGTGACGTTAACAATAACAAAATGTAAGGTGTGTCACATCTAGAGCACATGACATTTCATGTTGGCTGGCTGCCACTTAATGAATGAGATCCGTCATTTATGTTATTTTCTAATTCTACCGAGGTCTGCAACATTATCTTAACTTATTGTCTTCTTACGGTTTTAACATGTATTCGTTTGACTTGAAGTGGCAACGACTGTGGGGCAACTAAGCTGCTGCCCTCTCTGTTTTGTGTCGCTTATGAGTCTTATCTTCTCTGATCTGATTATAATAGTATAACCTCAAACTTTGTTCTAAATTATCATCTGTACGTAAGATAAACGCGCGTAGGCCTGCGTCACCGTTTTTCTTAAACATAATTTCCTTTTACGCAACTGTCCTTTTCTCGATCTCCAGTGAAGAGGGAGGGAAGATTCTCAGGGCACAGGTTGTCTGCTTCATCCTCAATCAGGCAAACTGTGCGTTCTTGAGAGGCAGTAACAGCAGGACATGTTCTTTTGCATCTAAATGGCATTAAACTTCCTCAGACACCCTGTTCGCAGGTTTCCATTGTGCAGATCGGGGCTGCGCTGCTGTCGTCAGGTGTGCGCTGATGAAGGGGACGCAGTGGCATCTGTTGTTGACGCCTCCTTTAGACTCGCGCCGCGTCGGGCAGGAGGACACACGCCCAGCTGGAAATAAGTATTAAGTGTTACGTGCGTTGAGAATCCTTCTAATCTCTGATCTGTTGGATTACTTCTCTGGTGGACGGGACTTGGCCCCATCCATAGTTTTGGCCATTATTTTACGCACACTGAAATCCATTTTTGCGCGCCCTTATTTGCGCCTCGGCACCTGCACGATGGATTAAACACTCATTAGTTTTAGCCTATTTTTTTTTAGTTGTGCTCTCAAAGTAATTGTGGATTATTAATGGACTCGCATCATGCTTAACAATGATGATATTTTGGTCACTCGGGCGCGCAGCGGTACGTTGGATTAAGAGCCAGGGACTTTCCACTGCTCTTGGACCAAGCACCTGTTTACTCTCCTGAGACACTCCGACCTGCTTTAGCACTGTTGTCGCGCTGGGATGGAGAGCGAGCTGAGACCCAGGCTCTGTTTCCTGACCAAAGGTGAGCGCGGTTATGGCTTTCACCTGCACGGTGAGAGGAACAGAGGCGGACAGTACATCCGCAAAGTGGAGCCGGGCTCCTCGGCTGAAATGGCCGGGTTGCGACCAGGGGACCGAGTGGTGGAGGTGAACGGGGAGAATGTGGAGAATGAAACCCATCACCAAGTGAGTAATGTCTCAACAAATCCCTTTATGGAAATCACAGACAAGTGCTTGCATGCAGAGGCTCACAAACAATGACTTCTATACCTGTTAGACCACTTTTCCCTTGCCTGAGGAGAAAGGGGGGGGGGGGGGACTAAAATGGGTCATTGTGATCCTTGTGAAATGGGAATCACAGGGTGTCATTGTCGTCCTGGAACTGTGTTAGGTGCAGAGCAGGGTGACCGACATACCCTAAATGACCCAACACTAATAATTTCAGTTTGTCTGAAGTTCCGCTCTGTTCTCTTCTCTGAGCAGGTGGTGAACAGAATCCGTGAGGTGGCCCACCGCACCAGGCTGCTGGTGGTGGACAAAGTCACAGACGATTACCTCCACAGCCATGGCCTGTCCTGCACTGAGGACCTTGCTATAGAAATGGGAACCCTCTCCCCGCGCCCTTCGCCCGGACCCACTCCCTCAACTTCTCCCTTGCCCACAGGGAATTCACCCCTGTCTCCAAAAACTCACCACACACACACATTTCACCCAACTGCTGCAGACTTGACTACGAACACGATCCAACGAGGCAAAGTCAGGACAACCTCAGTGACATCAAGTACAGCAACAGACACAGAGGTAAGAGTAGACATCAGCACATCAGGGTTGTCATGATTCCACATTTTTAGAGCTTTAAGAAAAATCTAACGACATCGATACTTGTTTTAATACCATGGCAACAAAAAGTTTTAGGCACTCGATATTGAACAAAATGCAGGCAAACTCCTGCAGATTGTCCTATGAAGACATTGCTCTCTCTCGCTCTCTTTGGCAGCTTTGGTTAAAAATATGACTGAAGATTTGAAGTTTTTTTTATCAAAGCTTTGATACTTTTTGATACTCTCGCTCATCAAAATAACAGATATTTTATACGTGGTATCGAGTGGTAGTATCAAATATGTTTGAAAATGAAACCTTAGATCAGTGTTTAGGTGTGTCTATGAGCACCAGAGCAGCATAAGCCCATGTGAGGAGTTCTTTAGATGGGAATGAATCAGGCTGAATTTAATTTATAATCTACAAAAGCAAAGCAGACCATCAGGAAAATGTTTATTATGTGTATAAGTTATTTTATATGCCTGTCAGGTGTAAGAGGTGTCAGACCAGGAGATTAACTGCACTCTGAAAAAAACAGCCTTTTTTTTATTCCCACACCAAAGAGGCATTGTGAGCGACATGTAAAACATTTAACATGAAGGATTAGACTTTTTGTTAGAGAACACCATTTAGAAAGGACAAGATCACAGAGATCAGACCTGATTGTCGACAGGGGGCGGGGAATTGACACAACCGGAAAGTTCCTTTATTGGCTTTATTGGCTTTTTTAAAATCAGAATAGGGAAGAAGGTCCACATTTTCCAGTCCAAATGATTAATATGTCCCTCCAGCAGGACTCATTGAGCCAGTGTGTTATTGTGTTAAGAGAGTGTGTGTGACACTGGGCATACAGTCTTTAAGCGGATGTCTGTCTTGCACTAATCTTGACTTGAACACTTGGGTTATCTTAGGGCAGGATACAGTCCAAAAGCAGTTCCTTGAAAAAGAGTCTGGTGACCTCTTTGACCGGGGACAACTTAACACAGGTTTTAGAAATCACAGCATACACCTCAGGTTCATAGAGGTGATAAAACAAACATAACATATGCAGAATTGTATTTCTCTTCTTGATGTCCGAGTCAGAGATCGTTAGTGCAATTTGCAAAAAACACAGCACAATCCCCTCCTTTTTTTCTGTCACAGTTATGCCTTAAAGGTCACATATTATTCTCCTTTTATACCAGATTAAATAAGTCTCAGAGCTCCTCAAAACATGTCTTAAAAGTTTCTTGTTAAAAATACACTCGGATCTGTATTTTATCATGACTATAAACCCCTCTATCTCAGCCCTGCTCAGAACAGGCTGTTTGTATGTCTGTAGCTTTAAATGTAAATGAGATATGGTTTACCATTACCTTCTAGAAGGACTTGGGTGGCTCGGGCTTTCTCGCTTCATGCCCTATTGTTTACAGTGAGAAGTCAGACTCGGAGTGCAGAACAAACACCTAGCTGTGGGAGTGTCACCCACATGGGGGAGGAGTTACTGCCCTTTGTGATGTCATGAAGGGAAAATCTCCAAACGGCCTGTTAGAGCACACATTTTCTGAAATGGCAAAAGACGGAGAGGATGGACTTTTCTCATAATGGCGGGGTTTGTAGACAGACTAGAGACACATGTTAGAAAAACCTGGTAGTCCATGTGACCTTTAAAGTCTGTTTTAGAAAATTCAAGACTAAAGTCAACCTCCAAGTACTACAAGGTAAACATGATTAACAGAATACAACAGGGAATAAAACAGAGTGATGACCACAGGTTTAGAGTATCTCTTCCTGGCCACTACAGTGTAACAATGGGTTTTACTGTCCTGTTGTCAACATCGCCGTGCCATTTCAACACCTGCTTCAACATCATGTAGAAAGCCATTGTTCAATCTGTTCACAGGGCACTGCATTCTGTTGGTGGTGTGAACATTTACAATGAGCATTGTATTTGAAAAGTGCTGCCACTTTGTGCACTCTGAGAGTTAACACCTCATACCGGAGGGTTTTTCACAACTTTCTGCGGATATAAGAGATCAAACTCCTCAAAAATGACAATGTAAACTGGACAACAAAAGAAAAAAAAGAACTGTGGTTTAGTTAGGATGAAAGTTCTCCTTGATTACAATCTGAATGTATTTTTTCCTTTATTAGTGTGCTGTGCGGATGAGTTGTACTCACTTTGTAGCACACAGAATTTTTCAACGTGTCAACAGTACATATAGTCATGCTGAACTTTTATTTTGTTTAGACAAAGCAGGCTTTGAGCTTCTGCTCGGAAGAAAAGTACAAAGCAGACAAGGGAGGGATCAGATTTTGAGATAGCGATGATGTACAGTAAAACGCTTTGCATAGATATTGTTCTCTCTTCTTGCAGTTTATTTTGGGCACATTATCCCACACTCTCCTACTGTGGGATCTCACCAGCTACTGATCTTACAGCAAAGAAAAGTGAGAATTTTACATCTGTGTGCTAGCAAAGCTTTGTTAAAGTACACAAGATACACAAAAACCCGTTCAGATTTACAAGTCAGCAATTGTGACATGGAGAAGAAAAAAAAAGTGCCAGTTAGACATCACTGTGACCTGTTGATGTCAACACTGCTGCAGAAACACGCAGAACATTTCTGTCAGAGACTGAGCTCAGTGTTTGGGCTCCAAACATGCCGAAGTACCATCTGTTTAGCTGCAGGCAGGGTAAATACAGGGTGCTCCTTGGCTGGCTGTCACAGCTCACTTTCTCAGTTTTGGTCACTAAGATTAAACAGCAACACAGAACAGCAGCACACGTACAACAGAGCATAATCTATTACATCACAAGTAACTGTGACTCAAGTCTGAACCTGGCCACCAATGAATTGGCCTTAACCTTTTGTTTTTTTAGAGACTCACGTGGCAATCCATTACCTTTAAGAATGAATGAATTATTTGTAAGATAATCAACAGTTTCTAGATATTTCCAATGAGTGCTGTATTAATTATTCATATTTTGTGTATGCTAATCCAGAAGTATCTTATAAAAAACAAAACATAAAAGCCTAGACCTGAGTACTTTTTTTTTTTGGTTCTTAAGTCATACTGATTTAATTCCCTTCCGTGTGACATTATCATTACAGTAAATGTAAATACAGACGCAATTTCACCGTGACATGATGTTATTTTGTCAGCAGACGTCCATAAACAGTCGTCTTATGTAACCTCGGCGTTGACGCTATCACAGACATGCAACAGTTGGGCTCGGTCACACACCCTTCACTTGAGAAGTCGGCATTATTTCTTGAAAAATTGTATGAAAGACTCACTTAATAACTATAACTGTAGGCTACCTTTTTTATATCAGGAAAAGTCTTGCTTCTGACTGTCTTGATTGCCATGACAACAACTTGGAAATACCCTTGAGTAGAAAAACAAGTTGATTTTTTCCAGGTCAGTGTGGTGTGAAGCCTGAGTGTCAATTAATTTGGGCCAACATGTTAAATATAGTAAACAGGCCACCAAGATTAAAGGAGATCTCTAAAACCAGCAAGAGACACAGTGACCTGTCACCACGGCCACCTAACCTGTCACCATGACGACCTGTAGCCAAAGTGGAATCTGTTCTATTACAACGGCTCGCAGGGCACTACACTGATTGACATATTGTCGTTATTACACAGTCTCTCGGTACTGTTGTGTGTTTGTGTGTGTGCAATGAGTCCGATTGCTTGAGCAGAGAGAGGAATATGTCAGAGAGCCCTCGGGTCAGCACAGAAAGTGGCCGTCTTTGCAGTGTCATTACAAATTTACTGTCCTGATCTCCCCTTAGGACAGGTATTAGTGTGTGGTCAAGGCCAACACGCACGCGCACACACACACGCACACACACACACACACACACACACACACACACACACACACACACACACACACACACACATACACACACACAGACTGAAGGTACTTAGTAGTAGATGCACAGGTCCGGTCAGAAGGTGACTCATGCTATGTGTCACCTCTTGTCATTGGTCATTAGGCTTTTAATCTTAATGTCTCTCTGTCAGATCCATTAACCCCCCCGGCTCAGCTCTCGGCCCACTGGCTCATCCCCACCAACACTTTCTCTTTACAATCACTGACTTGAACAACACGATCGTGTTTGAAGATAACAGGATGTGGTACAGATATACTGAATAAAATATGTCGAATTATTGCCCAGCCAATCTCATCTCATTCTCTGAAGCCATCTTAGCGTAGCCAATTTGTATAGGCTTCAGTGATTCAGAACAGCAAGGATAAAGAAGGCCAAGCATTTTTGTTTCTATAGGCTTGCATCTCTTACTGTCCGTCTTACAGCTTGTGATTAGAGATGCAATGTATAGCACAAGATCTGCAGGGTTATAGCCAAGCCCCAAAAAACCTGCAGGATCTACTGAAATCTGTCACATCGTCCCTGCAGAAACACCTGCAGTGGTGCAGCTTTTATTTTTGATTTTTTTTGCTCTTTGTCATGAATGCTGTTGATTTAAACTGTTTATTTTTCAAAGCTGTAATAAGGGGTGATCCTGGAGTAGATTGCTTTATTTTTAAGTGTTGAAGAAATTACTAAGACTCCATACAATAAGACTCAGTTGACTCAGATGGCTTACGTTGATGAAAGTTTATACATCAGATGAATACTCATGAGGAGACATGATTCAACATCACACTTCTGTACTCGTGTCTTGCTCAATCACATCTGCCGAACTTCTCGAAAGGCATTGCATACATCCTAAAAGACATTATCATTATCAGGGTCACATTGACCCACCTAGACTAAACTGTGACGTCTATAACACTGGAGCAGACAACAAGTCTACCAAACATCCTTGCAGATATCAGGAAGAACAGTTGACACTCTCTAAGCTGTACTTGGTGTTCTAATAACAATTGAACTCTGTCAGGTCTGACTGACATTAGAGAACAGTGAATAACCCTAGTGACATCTGTACATTATAATCTAAATAACTACAGAAAATTCCACCACATTAAGTATGATGAAAAACCATTATTTATGGTCCAGTCCAAGACAGCATCACCCTGTCTGTTGTGAATGATCAGATCCTTTAAAGGACCAACCATTGTTTTTAAATCTTTCCTGCATACATACGTTTTTAAACTTGCCAACCATGTTCACATGCGTTTTATAAACCAGTTTGCACAGTCACGCGTGATGTGATTAAAGCGATCCATTCAATTTGGTGTTTGTTGTGATGGAGATCGATAAGCATAGACAGAAGCAGCAATCTGTGATAATGCGTTTTTAAATGGCCAAAACAGTCAAATCAGAAACAGGATCAGTTTTATTGGCCGAGTATGTGGGAACATACAAGGACTCTGACTCTGGTTTTACATTCTATTAAATGAACAGATAAATTATATGACGTACTATACTTTAAACAAGCAGCACAAGTTCGACAAAGGTAAAACAATCGCTTTAAAAAACTTAAATTGTAAAAAAATAAAACCATTTCATGCAGTCCTATGCATTTAAATTTTAATATATTAAAATAATAACACCTGTAGATAGGAGACGATGGTGCAATGGAGCGCACAAAGATGCTGAGAGAAATGTATCTCAGTGTTTTCAGTTTTGTATTATGGACAACTTTCAAATGCATACTCCATTAACCTGTTTTTATTGACTTCTCATCCTAGATGTTGTTGTTGTCCTATGTCTCATCATAGCTGCAGGTGCAGCCCTCACCAGAGCAGACGGTTGAGCGGCTTCCTCGTCTGTGTCATATGGTGAAGGGGGAGCACGGCTACGGCTTCAACCTCCACAGTGATAAGACAAAGAGGGGACAGTTTGTGCGTTCAGTGGACCCTGGCTCAGCTGCTGAGGGTGCAGACATCAGGTCTGGAGACAGACTAGTGGAGGTACATCCAAAAAAACACAAGCATACCATACACATAACAACACAAAGCAAACAATAAATCTAGGTTGGTGACCACTGTCCACCCTCTCAGAAAATATATACGGTATATGTAGACTTGAATCACGGCCCCATTATAGAACTCATCTCTGGGAAAATCAACTGGGAAAACAATACAACCAGTCCATACATTAATTAGGTCTGTGCACTGATTTGAGTGTGATTGGATTAGAGCAGATTAGTTGGCTTTGAGTGGGTGGAAGAGGAAGGAGCTGTTTAATTTTGGAAAAGGTGCAAAAGACAACATGAGATAATCTTGACTGCAAGTGCCCTTGTCATGGACAAGTCAAGAGGAATAACTGTGCTATCTTAGGCTTGTAAATGTGTGCTTCCAAATACCTCTTCCTTTTTTTAAGATGTATTTGTGGGCCTTTAAGGGGAGATAGTGGGGAATGACAAGCAGGAAAGGACCCACAGGTGCCGCTCGCTTCAAGGACTTCATGCAATCTAACCACCCCCATTTACCTCTTCTTGTGTGGAGAACGATTAAAAGCAGAAAGGAAAGTCGTGCAAATATATTTGTTTGAACTTGAATCACAGATTCAACAGACCTTTTAGTGTGTGAGACACACTACATGCTTCTAGTGTCTTTTAGTTCACTCAAATATTGTCTCCACTTTTTGTTCCACTCCTTCCTCTGTTCTGATTCTCTTTTTCCACTTGATCAGGTGAATGGAGTGAGCATAGATGGCCTAAGGCACTCAGAGGTTGTTGCTCTCATTAGAGCAGGAGGGCAAGAAGTGCGCCTCCTAGTGGTTGACCTGGAGACAGACGAGCTCTTACACAGACTAGGAATCACACCCACTACCAGACATGAAAGAGGTAATGTTGCAAACCACACACACACACACACACACACACACACACACACACACACACACACACACACACACACACACACACACACACACGTAGGCATATTTAGTAACACACCCCTCTCCAGTCTCCGGAAAGTTGACTCAAGTGCTTCTCTTTACTCCCTCACAGAGGTTTATGTGAATGAATCAACCACAGACAGCATCCAACCTACGCCCTCTCCGACCACCGACATCCCCGCCGCAGATCCACCGATCATTAACGTGACGCTCACAGATGCCCCAATCACGAGTTCATCTCCGAAACCCCGAACCAATGGGAGCTCTGCATCTCAGTCATCAAGAAGTTCCACCACCCAATCAGAGATCAGCAGCTCAGACATGAGCATCCAGGTGAAAGAGGAGACATGACAGAAACAATACTATATGAAACAAAACAAACAGAAAATAAGTTGTGAGCTGTACATGCTTCCTCAAAATGTGTTCCATGTCCAGTGTCAAACACATGCTCACTCATTTGGAATTGGAAAAGCTTATCCAGGCTCTCATCTTCTTAAGACTTGATTTCTAACTCCCTCCTTTCTGGCCTGAATAGAAAGCTTCCTACTGGTTTTAACAGAGGACATCACATAACCCCAATCCTTGCTTCCCTTTATTGGCTCCCTCTTAGTTTTAGAATTGATTTAAAGACTTTGGTCATCCCTTAAGGGAAAGCACGTCTGGGTCTGGCTCCACACTGGATTGAAGTCCATGCTTATATCTGAGAACCATCCTTTTAAAACAGGGGCTTCTACACCTAAAAAGCTAAGGCTCACAAAATCACTGGCACCTTTTAAATCAGTTCTTAAAACCCATTTCTATAGACATGTGATTTGGTCTTTAGCCTACACCCGTAGTTCAGGTTGTCAACTTATTACCCAATGTGAACAGTGTCTTTTAATTGTCTTTTCTTTAATCGAAGTCATTTCTTTTTATGATCATTTTCTTGCATTTCTTCTTATTCCTTTAATAATGTGTCTCTCTTGTTTGTCTTTATTCCTTCTTATTTCTTTCATTTCCTTGTATTACTTGTCGACTCTTGTTTTTAGAGATGTCCTCATGGTTTAACTTCCTATTGACTGCTCTTGTATTGTCTTTATGTCTTACTCTGTCTGGCCATGTTCATGTTTTGTTGTTTCCTACTGATCATCCTGTTTTGTTGTTACTCAAAGTTCTGTGTAAAGTATTGTTAAACGGTACTACTTAAATAAAGTTATGATTATTATTATCATTAAACGAATCGTTGGTTGATGTGTGGGTAAAACATATACGTTTTAATGTATTTTAGGTCCCAGATGAGGATGACAGGCGGGTTTCGGATCCTTTCATGGACAGTGGCCTGCGTTTGAGTCCCACAGCTGCCGAAGCTAAACAAAAGGCCCTTGCCAGCCGAAACAAAAAGAGAGCACCTCCTATGGACTGGAGCAAAAGACAAGAGATCTTCAGTAACTTCTGATCCTGGATTATTGAGTTATAGTGCAGTACTACAAGTAGCCATTGGAGGCACTAGTGCTTTACTGAGTATTTCCAATTTATGCAACTTATTTCATGGAGTAATCGTTTTCTTTCACTCAACTACCTTTGTCCAGCAACCATTGTCATCACTCAGTAACTTTTCAAATTACAGAATGTGATCATAAACTGTGACGCAATAGCTTATAAAGAAGTTTAAATTAGTCGTCTCCTCTCTGTAAAACTTAGTTTTGAGGTATCCAATTTTATTTAGATGCGTTTTTTTACAACACCTAAAGGATAAAGATGATCTGTTGACGTGATAGACACCTTACAATAAAGCCATTTATGACTGACATGTACTAAATATCTCATCCGTGCAATTCGTGCCTGGTCAGTACACAGTGTTTCTTTTATTTAAATCAAGGTCATTTCAGAGGCGTGATTTGTTTTTATGAGACTATGAACTCATTTTTAATTTGGTCTCTATGTGCTGTAGATATGCTTTTCTGTAGTAACTTTGGTGACTCGTTTTGTTCATAGTTTCATGTCTTTTCAATGATATCATCTGGAGTCATGGAGTAGTTGTCTTTATATTAACTACTAAAGTAGCTAACACTGTACAATGTACAGGAGGAATGGGAGAGGATGAACAATGAAATGTATGATGTTGTGTTTCTCTTTAATGACAGAGTGATTTCTGTACAGAAAAATGTGTCAAAGACAGATGGGTGACTGGTAGACAAAAACACTGGACCATAAGATCTGTGAGCTTTTTTTTTGGAAATATCTGTCAAATGTTAAGCTGCTTAGAATGTGAAATAAAATTTCAAATTTGTAAATGCCACAATGTCAGTTATCAGAAAATCATGGAAAGTTTGTTATCTGAGAATTCCCTTTGAAATGTGAAGATTGATGTTTTTTTTAATAGAATCCATCTTCATTATATGTTGACTAAGAAGTAAGCACGCATTTGCATAAATAGGGTTGAGCCGTTTGCTGTTGGGTCGCCTCAGCTCCATCTCTTTCCCTTTTTCTTGATAAGATAGAAATACGATTCCGATATGGGAACCGCCATTGTTGGGCTTCATAACATAGCTTCAGAAACCAATGGGGACCTTTACTTAGACTATGTCCATGTTTTAAGCCGCCCAACCAGCAGCTCAGTCTCAGTAAGTAATTTTTCTCTGCATTTCCTAAAAAAGGCTTTAGACAACATGGCTCAGGCTTGTTTCTCCATACCACTTCAAGCTCTTCCGCAGCAGAGGCAAACATCATGTTGTAACAGATCATGTCAAAACTGCAACTAAGTAACATTTTACAGGCAAAATGATTATTGTATTGGCTGACTGTTTAATAGCGCGAACATTGATGTTGCTGCATGCTCATTTTTGCCGAGCAGCAACCTCATGGTGTTGAGAAATTAATCCAATGCTGAAGTGAAAAACTGAATTTCCTCAAGTGAGCCCAGTAATAGCCCAGTATTTAAAGATATCCACTGGCATGCTGGATCTGGCCTCAGAAACTGGGGAATACTTTCCATCTTCCTACTGCTATAATATATAATAACCCTTCTACAAAACAAGGTGCTGGACAAAGATCACAGGCCCTATAATATAAGCAGAGGGTAACCACAGTCAAGTACAATGTGATACATAACCTGGGCAAAGTAGATTGGTTTCCTATGTGAACTTAGTTGGTTGCGTGTCCAGCCTCCCTGAATGTGATCCAAAATCACAAAGCAAAAGAAAATGGAGAGGCTCTATTCCTTTCCCATCTCAGGTCACTTTCAAATATGAAATTCAGTGGACTCAGTGGTGCAATTCAGGGACGAAGTTGCAAAATTGGCTTCCCTTAGCACAAAGTTTGTCAGTATTTTAATCACCTCCCATCCGTCAGGCCTAACCGAGACCCCCGATTCAAGCTCACTTCAGTTCTTTGGCAGGCACCAGCGTTCATTTGAACATTCACACAGCCCCAAACCAAACGAACTATCCAACAAAGGGTACCCGAGTTTGTTTCAATTGGACCAAAAAGCTCAGGTGTGAATGCACTTCAGAGGCTACGAGAGGGATCATCAGAGAAGACGTAAAAAGTGTTGGAATCGGGGGTTATTGAGGAGTGGGACAAAGTGCAGCAAAATTCGTTTTGAAACCAAACTGGGGGTGTACTGTTTGGAACAATACTCTTCAATGTAAGCTAAAAGCTTATTGAAAGATGGTCCGTTTTTAGATTGACAGGATTACCCAAAGGACTCAGCAGCAAAAATGAGACAAAATGGTTCTGGAAATTGTATTTTTGTTCCCAAAGACTTCTTCCTATGTCCTGCTCTAGCTAACAAGTAATTGACAAGGACAGCTGTCCTGTGATGGCTAAGGAACAATATGAAAGACTTCTGCTGTGTAATCAGTGGTACTAGAAAATAAAACCACAGAGGGAAGGGTTGAAGCAGACTTCTGAATGAAATGTTGTGCATGTATTACACGTCAATTAATTTAAATGTATTTCTGAAATGCTAATGATTTGAAATGTGACACAGGATACACTCCTTTATCAGAGGCAACCATTAGCCGTATTAACGGGTTAATTCAAATGTAAAATAAACTTTGTTTACCTTTTAGTCGGGCATCAGCATCGATGTTTGGATCAGGTTTAGAAGCTTTCTTCTCTTGCAATTCATATTTCTACGTATAATACGCTGGTGGTTATATCTAATCAATTTTGGAAGCAGTACTGCAAACAACGCTACTACGGCAAGCGCCATGTTTCCTCTCCTGAACCAAAACAGATGTGATGTTCAGAACAAAGACCTTAAATATTAATGGACGAAGCCTGAGTGATGCCTCTCATCTGTTACTGCAGGTGGCTTTGGAGTTCCATCGATGGCTGTCGCAATGCTGGAAATGCTGTCTCAACCTAACGACAGGCAAAGAGCTGGAGCTGAGGTGGGTTTTAAGCCTCTTGACAAACCGTTACATTGCGCTCACCTGGTAGTCACATTTGTGATTTTTGCCGAGAGGAAAAATTGGGTGGGATTGTAAAATGGATTGATTGTTATTCACAAACAATAAGATAATATTTTAACTGATAGATGCAAATCCGTTGTCCAGTGCACCCATACGATTGCGTCTTGATGCAAGTCGCCATTACAGTCTGTCAACTGTCCTCCTTTGTTGTTTGCATTCATTGTAGTCACCCACAACTTCTGCCAGACCCATTCATGACTTTCAAAATCCTAAATAACAAATGTGTGATATAAATTGGGGTGGCCTCGATGATCTCCGAGCTAATTGTGGACATAAAGATTAGATCTGTAAACTACTGACAATATGAAATAATCTGGGGAGATAATTGGTTCAGAGCAGCCTGGAGTCGGGAACTTCCACACGATTGTCTGGAACGAGTAATCGGACCTTAACCCTAACCCAGTGCGATTATCCTGTGCTCTGAGCCAGGCACAAGGGAAATTTTCTAAAGGGGATTTCATGGAATTAATTTGGTGGGGAGAAAATATTGCTGTCCAGTTTGTGTTAGATGCCCAATGACTTTTCAACTTTCCTCAGGTAAGGTGGTCATTTAAGGTGAATTTGTGAAGAAACCTAAAATGGGTTCAGCAATTAACAACCACTTGATAATTGCTTCCCATGTCCAATGATATGTTCCATCAACCTCCTAACACTTTTTATGGGTATTATACTGTAATATGTTAGATAAGCCTTAGATGCAGGCTGGACTGTTTTTAGTTCGACCAAGATGATTAAAGGAATCAGCAGCAGAATTAACCAAAAGCTCTTAAGTGTTCCAGCTTTGTTCCAGCAGGGTTTGCCAAGTCCCGTCAATAATACTGACTAGAACTGCTGTGCTGTGAAGGCGAGGGCATCGAGGAAAGACTCTTAGTATTGTGCAATAAGTGCAGTTGTACAAGACAATAAAATCACAATTAGAAGCTGGACATCCGTTTTTGAACACATATAGAAAGGCCCCTGTATAATCTCTTTACCATTAAACGCAAACAGTTCCCTTTCAGTCGTTTCACTTGGTATGACACTCGTATGTGAGGCTCCATTCGGAAAACAAATACAGCTGTCATCACAGTCATCTCTCAGTTTGATAGCTGCTCTTCACTGAGCACAGCTGTACAAGTGTTGTACCCCATTCCTCTCCTTCAGGGAACAGAAGATATTGTCATTATATTTTGTTCCCTCTCATTCGATTCAGTCGATGCTCCGCAGAGCAGCCACTGTACCAGGAGTCAAAACCTCCAGGACTCTAGTGCATCATAGACCCAGTATAAAGGACCAAATGCACCACTAAAGGGGCTGTCACATCTAGAGGGTAAAACCGTGTGTAGTGATGACAAACTGACTGAATGAAATATGTCACCCAACCCTTTAAACAAAGCCAATGCTGTTGACATGCCCATGTGCAAATGCGCCTAACACTGACAGGTAATGTAAGACCCCTGGTGTCGTATGCCATTTAGATAGCCTCCACAATCCAGTGAGAAAGCCATTGTTTAGACAGAGCTTTTCCCTTGGCTGAGTAAGCAAAAAAAAAAAAACAGCTGGTTACATAAACGCATGGTCTATGTAGTTGAGTAGCACATGCACAGGACACAATGTAAGAGCTCAAGAGCTTAAAAGCCATAGAAGTATGGGCTGAATGGATTACCTAGGCAAATATGCCACATTTGGGCGTAAAGTGATCTTGGAGCCATCTGAAGTAAACTGGGTAAAAGCACAGCTGAACAGATAAAGCATGATGGTCGCCCACTCAATTTGCCCAGGTCACAGCAAAAGTTATTTCAATTCCCTTATCAAGCAATTCTTTTTTTTTTTTAAGATTTGTTTTTGGGCTTTTTGTGCCTTTAATGGAGAGACAGGACAGTGGACAGAGCTGGAAATCAGAGAGAGAGAGAGCGGGGAGTGACATGCGGGAAAGGAGCCACAGGCCGGACCCGAACCTGGTCCACCCGCCCGAAGACCACAGCCTCCATACATAGGGCGCGCGCACCAACCACCGCACCACGGGGGCAGTGGGTGGCCATCCTGGAGGTGAAGAGGTCCACCTCCGCCCTGCCGAAGCGATTTCCATCTTTAACTGTCCAAGCGTCGCTATTCTATAATTCTACAATTCTACACTACACTACACTACACTACACAGCGATCATAGACACCATTGTGCCCAAAAGCTGTAAGATCACATGAAAACGCTGTTTACGTCCCAACTGAAATTAAGCAAATTGAGTGTGCATGCTTGAGATTGTAGAAACATAAACACTGTCATTGATTTCAACAGGGGAACATTTGCAATATGCACAAAGTGAACCTTTATTGAGGCACTGGAAACTTGACAAAGATTGCAAACATATTTCGTCATCTCAAGTGCATTGAATGCACCCAAACTGGGGATTACAGTCTGGAGCAACTTAAATATATTTGGGTGCTTGGGGGGTTTGTGATTGGGCGGCAACAAACAAGGGGCGGCAGTGTCTCCCTGCTGCTGTAGCCCCTCACCAAGTCCCAGAGCTAGGAGGTTATGCCAAATGTATGCAGACGATACAGTTATATAGGTGTCTACAAAGACTCCTCAGATGGTAGCAGAGATACTATCAAAAGAAATGTCAATCTTAATGTGTTTCTCAATATAAGGAAAATGAAAGAATATATTGGAATAGAGAATGATGAGAAAGGGCTTTCCAAGTGTTCATAAAGTTTAAAACTTCAGGTGTTATTTTAGATTCTCAGCCGAAGTTTGACAGACATGTGAAGAAGTTATGCAAAACAAATTTAAATTGTT